GCAGCCGGCAACAACACCAGCTTGACATGACCCAAAACGACTCAATTCCCCTGTTCTTTGAACACTCTCAGATCCAATGACTGACCGCCCCACGCCCCGTCTGATTACAACCTGTCCATTCTCGGTCCCAGTAGAATTGCTCCGCCCCCCTCCCGATCCCTAACTTTCTAACGTACGATCATGGCTGTGCCCCGCTGTTCCCTTCTGGCGCATTTTGACTATGCTTTAGCCTCTTTTTACTCGCTGCAATTTGCCTGACTTAATTTGACACCATCACTCAGTACATGCAAAGATCAACCTGACTCATCATGTGGCTAAACGCTTTGATGTATTGGATGACGTTTGTAGCTTTCAGTTAGCCATGAGACGCGCGCGCAGGGATCCGGCGTCATTGCCCGCAGTTTAGGTAGGCGATGCGAGGAGTCGGTCTTATGATCAATATTTGGCGCCAGGGGATTGTATACGTGGCTGTGGCCTTCGAGTTTGACACCAGTACGTTGTGCTGGATGTGTCACTGGGGCCGGAGCCAAGTGCTGGTAGTGACTTTGTTGGCGTGAGTTTAACATGACTAACTCGTTAAGTCGGCGACAAACTATGCTTGGCATAGTCCGCGGTGTCAGCCTGCCAGGTGTAACTGCCTATTTGCCTTTTGCTGTTCACACCATTGCTGCCATGGCGGCGCCAAACGCTAGCGGTGGTATTTTATTAAAGCACCTCCACGTAAGCCGCTTGAAGAAGTCATATTATTCCCGGACTGCACTGCACCTTTCTGTCCTATTTGGTTTGGGCTCCGGCCAGTTTTGCTAAAGGCAAGAATAAAACCAGTAAGTCAACAGAAGAAGATGTGACCACTGGAAAAAGAGTTTTATTTGCCTGACGTTTCGGATTCCGTCGGGAATCCTTAAGCATAGGTAATGGTAGGATAGTCTGAGTCATGTTTGACCCCCATCTGCGCATGACTCAGAATATCCTGCCATTAGCTATGCTTAAGGATTCCCGACGGAATCCGAAACGTCAGGAAAATGAAACTCTTGTTTCAGTGGTCTAATTTTCGTCTTCTTCTGAACTGCTTCCTGGAACTCGCATATTCACTTCTATTAGTTCAGAGTTCTTAAGCATGTTTAAGTCTCTAATTTAGAGAGGACCGCCCTATCAGAGATCAGTATCGCCATTAGAGTTTAGATTTTTACTTAAAAAGAAGTAAACTGCTAAAAAAGCGCATTGACCAAGCCGTTTCGCGAACCTTCCTAGCAGCCAGAGTTCGGGTATTATTCTCAACCAACCAAATCTTACACGGGGAAGGTAAGAATAGGTTACCAACTCAGACCACCTCTGTGTTCATCTGATCC